CAACCTAACTATAAATCACTGTTTAAAAATACATATACATTCTTGATGTATTTGAAATATTCCGAATGTGATTGATTGTCGTGTTACAACAGCCCTTACAGTTTACTCGTCAACATTCCATCAGTTTTTGTTGTTGTTTTTTGTTTCTCAGATCAGTAAAGTTGTTGTGTAGGGCCAGTGGTTGGAAACGCTGTACTAGCTAACGATAAAAACTTAATACACAAAACTATTAACTCACCTTTCGTTTATTCACTGACATTTTACGCCATAAAGTACTATATTTAATGTTATTAATATAGTAATTTCTAAGCATCTATTAAATATATTTATTTATCTCTCTATCTTTCCATCCATCCATCCATCTATTAATCTGTTCCAATTAATCACCTACTTGCCTGACAAACGCTGGGTACAAACTTCTCGACAGTGTAACGACACCGCAAGTTTGGAGGATAGGCCCATGGATACCCGGGGCTCCTCAGGTGTGACACAGGACTTAGTATTCGTATATCACATGATTCCGACTCTTGATCAGCTATAGATGCAGTAAATAATAGTAATGATGAATAGGATCATATTCTGTGCTTATAAAATAAAAATAATTGTCATAATATTTCCGTAAAAAATACCAGATTATTGACCTCGTTTTATTTTATTAATACGACTTTTTTACTTTAACACAAAAACAATCATCAGACAGTTTATAAGACAGTAGATTCAGATGCCCTTTTTATATCAGAACAAACTAATGGACCAGACCAATTAAAAGGTACTGTCTGTAGTATTGCATTCAATCATGTTATCCCTTCCTCAATATGGGGGGCAGGAACCCTGGTTCCTTAGGATAATGGGATAAACAACGATTAAGAAAATCCACTCCGTGACAAAATGTATTTTTTTCAGAAAAATGTTTGGTTCAAGCAGTTTGTTGATTATCACAAAGCTAAAAAGTGTTATTACACATAAATAAAAACATGAAATATATTAATGTTTATTTCACGTGTTTGTTGTTGCTGGGTTGGGTTTTTTTTTGGGGGGGGATTCCATAAAGAAACTTAGTAATCAATTATTCAGGTACATATTAATTGCATTTCACATATAAAGCACAAGTATCTATGAAAGAGCATCCGCAGGATATATTACAGAGGGGGGGCGAGATGATAAAATGATATCAAAGCTATAACTAGGGAAACGCAAAATTAATAATCCAGGGGGCACGTGCCCCCTTTCCGACACCCACGTAGCTATGAGCATTTGTATTTTACATATTCCTTCTATCGACTCATATTTCATTGACGTAAGATCATTTACGTTAAAAAAATTAAAAATTGAATCACTATATTAACTTTAAAATATTTATAAAATTAACGAGAAAACAATTACAGTTGAGTTTAAGAACAGTCAGCAGTTAAAAAATCAACAAGGGCTTGAAAAACTGAAAAAAAAAACCATAAAATTATATTCAACAAAAGAGTTTTGACTATAGATATTAAAATTTAAACCTAAAATCATGTTCAGATCAAAAAATAAGTACCTGTAAATATAAGATAATCAGATTAACTATTTATTATATATATAAGTCTAGTTAAGTGTTCTTACCCTGTAGTCGGTCATGAAAACTGGTACAGTATATCTGTTGTTGTATACGCAACCGGAAACCTATGTTGTTCACTTTGTTATTGGTCCGAAAATACATTTTGAACTCCTTCTTCCATCCAGGAAAGTCAAAGGTTACTGCATTGACAAAACGTGCGTTCTTGTAAAAACTGTACAAGTACAGTACTTTTCTCTCAAAAATGTGAAGGAGAAAATTTAATTTGAAGGTAAAAAAGTTACATTTACTTTAGCACAAAAACATCCTCTAAAAGACCTGTCACTTAAGACAAAAAAAAACGGATAAGTTTGACCTGTTTCGAATTCTTATCAACGTTTGTCGCATTTATGTAACTATTAACGCAAACATATAACAGATAAAAGCTATCTTCGTGCAAGAAAAGCTTTATATGAAACACTAAGTAACTAATTTAATTTACAACGAAGCAAGTACCACGTTTTAGGCTTAACTCGGAAAAACTGGAATTTAGTTTTATTGATTCAGTTGACAAATGAGGAAGATAAAAGTGATTTTGTCAATGGATCTTATAACATAAATAAGTGTCTTAAAAATAGGAGTCGTAACGCTTTTTTGTTTCATCATTAATATTATCACAGTCCTGTAATTCCGAAGTTAAAATGATTATTCCGCTACGACAGAAATAGAAGCACTGATGAGTTTGCTTTTTAAAGCAATAAAAAAATATCCCTTATTACTTTAGGAGGTGACAATGGTCATGACATCCTGCTGATAAAGAAACATTTGCCACTCAGTTCGACGAGCTTCTTTGTTCTTTATCTAAGGAACTTAGTTCAATATCATTCAGCATAATTTTCTTGAAGTATTCTTGAAATGTAAAACTTAGAGTATGAATTATCAAACATCACATTTGCTAATATTGGATATAACAAATTTCATACATGGTTAACTAAATCAATTAGATATCCAGTTTTAAGTTCTGCCAGCACTCGTCAGTTCAAATACACTGAATGGTTGACATTTTCTTAACACCATTATCAGCTAAGTATGTTGTTTCGAACTCAACTCTAAATTAGCCTACATAGATTGAATATTTAAAAATTCTCTTAACGCCACAATCAACTGAGTATGTAGTTTCGAATTAAACCCTAAATTCAATCTGTGTGGGCTAATAGTTAACAATTTTCTTAACACCATTATCAGCTAAGTATGTTGTTTCGAATTCAACTCTAAGTTAGCCCACATAGATTGAATATTTAACAATTCTCTTAACGCCACGATCATCTGAGTATGTAGTTTTGAACTCAACCCTCAATTAGCCCACATAAGTATACTGGGTAGCATTATCTTAATGACGTTTTCAGCCACTTTAAATCGATATTTGGAGTGAGAGCAGAGTTTCAGTCCCTTACGAAAGTCTTTCCTTCCTTCAATCTACAAGCTATTTGTGCATCATATACAACATTTGATTTTAACTATGAGGTGTGAGCTTGATTATAAATTTTAATTTAAAAAAATCAACGTAAGCAAAACTTAGTGTATAACCTCCCTACACATAAACTATTTATCTTTCCTAATTAGAGTGAAAGTCTTGTCACTTTAAATTAAAATCAGGTGTTACCGTACTGGCCCGATTATAAGGCGATGTTTTTTTATTAATAATTAGGTTGTAAAATTCATAGTCGCCTTATAATCGCGGCCGACCAAAGGTCCCTTCCCCTAATCTAGCCTTTCGCATTCCTGAATGTCCAGATAGCATCCGTCTACACATGCGCGCCAAATGTTCGCTCAAGGTCATCGCTAACTCTTGCAACTAATCCACCTGTAAGCTGTTCAGTTATAGTACTTATTTTGTGGACCTAAGAAAAGGACGTTATGAAACTCAATTATTTTTTCATTCCGATGGTTTTTGAAAATGGGGGCCGCCTTATATTCGAGATCGCCCTATAATCGGGCCAATACGGTACTTACTAACTTGATTTGGACGTAGCATCTCTCCACAGTATATTTTGCCTTCTAGGATCAGGTGGTCATTGAAGCAGTTGGAACTTTTTTCTAGTCGAAAGTAGAGTATATGAATTTCTAGCTAGAACAGATAAATAAAGTATATTTGATAACTAATTGATTTTATTTATTTGTTTATAGATAAATAAATAAATGCATTTAAAACACTGCCTTTCGCAGGTGCCACGGTTTGAATAAAAATGATTATTTAGTTTTACAAGTTCTTCGTAAACGATATATGTAATTAAGAAATAATGGGAACCGAGCAACTGTAGGTGGGAATACAAATCTCAAATATTTCGTTCATAACTGAAACTAATATGACGTACAAAATGTAATCATGCTCTAATGTTGCTCCAAAACAAGGTTTGATAAATATAGGAACTGTTCCTCATACATTTTCTATTAACAAAATAAAGCATTATGAGCCTTATTGTCCCCGTCCCACCAAA